CAGTCTGACAGGTGTGAGATGGTACCTCATTGTTGTTTTGATTTGCATCTCTCGGATGATTAGTGACTTTGAGCATGTTTTCATATGTCTCTTGGCTTTCTGAATGTCCTCTTTTGAAAGGTGTCTATTTAGGTCCTTTGCCCATTTTTTGATTGGATTGTTTATCTTCCTTTTGTTAAGTTGTGTGAGTTCCATCACTTGGATATACATCTTGATAAGAAAAAGATTGAGAATTTTGCTCTAGTCTAAACAAGACATAGTTTGTTTTTGTTTTGTTTTTTAAATATATATTTTATTGATTTATTACAGAGAGGAAGGGAGAGAGATAGAGAGTTAGAAACATCGATGAGAGAGAAACATCGATCAGCTGCCTCCTGCACACCTCCCACTGGGGATGTGTCCGCAACCAAGGTACATGCCCTTGAGCGTTATCGAACCCAGGACCTTTCAGTCCGAAGTCCGATGCTGAGCCAAACCGGTTATGGCAAGATGTAGTTTTTTAATATCTGTTGTAATTTGTCCTTGAAGAAGGACAAATTATATATAATTAGAGGTCTGGCGCATGAATTCATGCACTGGAGGGGTCTGGCTGGCCCGCCCCAATTGGGGTCCCATTAGCATGGGTGAGCCAGGGGGAGGGGCTGCAGGAGGTTGGCCGGCTGGCCCCACCCCCGATCAGGATAGGGGGCGCTGATCAGGTGTGGGGCCAGCCTTGGGGCGGGCAGCTCCCTCTGTGTTTGGTGTGATTCTCTGAATTTGACCTCTACTTTCTGAGACTGAACCTGGGTTTTCCCATCACTCTTTGACCTCATGCATGCACTTTCGATTTGGGAATGGTCACCTCACTCAGATGTTTAGGTCTCCTGTCTTTGAGCTGCTGTGTCAGTTACTTCCTCCTTCTCCTGCCCCTTCCTCTTCCCCACCCCCTTCCTCTTTCCTCTGGGGATACAAGGGGTCGGAGGGGAAAAAATAAAAGGAAACTTCAGTATTAGATGCACTTAAGTCATAGGTGACTCAACCAGAATGTTGACTCACTAATCAAATCAGTGGACATTTATTAATTTGACTCGCAAAAAGACGCACAACCAAGTTGTTGGGGGCAGATCCATGGCTGTTCCAGCCAGGGGAGGGGAGTGATCATGGCTCAGGTCAGGCCGTTTAGTTGTCGCAATGTGTGTCATAGCCACCAATCTTTCTGATTGTTTTGGTCATTCTGCTGTAAAGGTTGCTGGGTATATATATATATATATATATATAATTATATATACTTGTGTACAAATAAATAATATTTTTATATTTTTATCATACATCTTTGGGTAGGAGAACTACTAAGACAAAATATAAATATTTTAATGATTAGGAGTATTTACTGTCAAATTGCTACCCAGAAAGAATGTCCTATTTTAAATTCCCATCAATCCTATACAACAATGTCTTTTGATTATGCCATTCTTAGAATAAATAATAAACATACTTTAATTATAATGCTGGATGATGTTTTTTAGATATACAGAGAAGGACAAGAGTAGGTTTACAGTTGGTCATGAGTATGCAAAATATTTTGCTTAAAATATGGTGTTGGAGGGTAGCTTTACAGATACCTGAACTGCCAGAAAGATGAATAAGTGGAACCTAGGACAAATTAAACCTGAAACATCTTTGGAGGCAAAAATGTCAAAACAGAAGCTGTCCTACTTTGGGCACATTGTGAGAAGGCAGGGGTTCTTTGGAAAAGGCAATAAGGCTGGGGAAAATAGAAGGCAGCAAGAAAGGAGAAGACCAAGCATGAGATGGATTGACTCAATAAAAGAAGCCATAGGTATGAGTTTAGAGGAGCTGAAAAGGGCTATTGAGGACAGAGCTTTGTGGACTTCACTCATTCAGAGTTGCCAAGAATCGGACACGACTCAATGGCACATAGCACATACACAAACTTGAGCCCAAGCTTCTCTGGTTAAATGTGGTGTCTGAATAGGTTTTTTCCAGTGTGTGGGCTTAAACTATCTCCATCAGAATCATTTGATAAAATAGAAAATCAGGCTTTATCTGGACAAACTGACTCTGTGATATTTGTGAAGGAAGAGTTCTCAACATCTACTCCTTTGTAATATCTACACATTAGTGAACATTTTTTTTTTCTGTAACCATATCCATTTAAGGATTATATGATCATGAAGAAGTTCTGGATTTCTAACAGGAAAAATCTACATTAAATAGTTTCTGCATCTGCAATTGTATGACCAGTTAACAACTGTTACATAAACTAACATGAATGCAATGCCCAGCAATCTGTTTCAATCTTCTGAAGCTTCCTTTCAGTGTTGATGATCCTCAGAGTCAGAATCACTGGAGATTTGCCCTGCTATGAATCACTCCCTCACCAAAATTTGGCATCACTCTGGTGACATTCTTTATATTAGCTGATGAGACAGAAATAAATTCCTCGTGCTGATACATATATGGGAGAGGTTAATCAAACAATATTAGGTGTTTGTTGTTATTGTTTTTAATGAGATGTTATAAATTAGAATGTAGCATATAAGTCCAGACATTTTTAGGAAATGAATAGCTCTTTGGGAGGAGTTGGCAGCTGCACATATAGCTCAAAGCCAGTATACTGGTTAATGAATAGCATCAAACTTCCAAGTCAAGGTTACAAAATACTAAGCAATTATAAAATACTAAGGGTGGGAAATATACTGCACAGCTGGAGAGAAAAATACATGCTCTCTCTCTCTCACACACACACACAATGACAGATGTCATGAAGTTGGATAATTTTGGGATTTGAAGAACTAGGTCATAGTAGTTTATTTTATGATTGTTTTGGACTCCAAGTAATCAGTAATTTCAAAGTACCACTTGACCCCATGCTTATCCAGCTTGACTGACTGAACAGGGTCAATTTCCTTCAAATTCTTGGATTTTGTTGAGTCTTTGAGAAGCTTACAGTGGTCAATTTGCTACAAAGATATTCTTTCACCATTGCCACAATGTGAGTTATTGGAAACACCAAAAGTGTTCCTACTGAGAACAGCATAACACTCCTGATGCATAATTAGTCAGTCCAACTCCCTTCACTTAGAGAGCTCTGCCCAAACTTCAGCATGGCTTCCAGCAGCTCAGCACTATATTCCTATGTGACCTGAGACTCCCATTAAAATGCCCAAGAAAGCTCCAGGTTGCCTGGAGGTCTTACTGTCCGTTCTAGTTAAAATCAGATGATAGGCTGATAAGCTCCTGAACTCACTCTTAGAGCAAGTAATTAAGAACGTTTGCAATTACAAATTGTTTTTATTTCCTTTGAGATGTAGATCTTCTACCACCGAAAATTGTCTTCTCAAGGACCTGGGACATCTCTTTAAAATTTAAACATTTGGGGAGATGAGAGGGTAAGGGTCTAACTTTTGTGGTCTCCAACTTATACCACTATCTGCTATCATAAAGATGGGAGAAGCTTCTTTTCCTCCAGCTAAGTGACAATCATATACTGAGATGGCCTACCCGTGGTCGGCAAAGCATGGCTCGTGAGCCACATGCGGCTCTTTGGCCCCTTGAGTGTGGCTCTTCCACAAAATACCACATGTGGGCGCACACATACAGTGAAATTGAAACTTCGTGGCCCATGCACAGGAGTCAGTATTTTGTGGAAGAGCTGGTATTTTGTGGAAGAGATATTTGAGATATTTGAGGGTGGGGGTTCCCACTGGGGTGCCTGGCCAGTCCGGGTGAGGGGCTGATGGCCGTTTTCAGGCTGGCAGCCTACTGAAGCTCCCAATTGCTCCTTTTTTTCTTTCTTTTTTCTTTTTTTTTTTTAATTCTGGGTCAGCTTTAGCTTTGAGGCTTGGCTCCAGCTCTTAGGCCTCCGCTGCTGAAAGTAGGTTTCTGGCCTTTGCTTACAATGTTGCGATCCTGCTGGTTGAAGCCCGATGGACTAAAGCAGGTTTGCCGGTGGTAGAAGAGAATGAGATATTTGAGAAATTGGAGACAGAGAGAGAGAAAGAAAAAAGAGAAAGATAAGGAGGGGAGAGAGAGAGAGAGAGAGAGAGAAGAAAAGGAATTCAAATGGAGCAGAGGAACTAAATCGTGAGCAAACTGACAAATAAGTACAACCCAACACTATCCTAGGAATATACTGGAGATCAAGGTCACACAGTATTCTTCAATGTAGCAACAGTCATTCCACCTTAATGGAAAAAGGATACACTCTTTAATAATCAGAGTTTGGAAAACTGATAGATTTGGGAAGAAAATGTAATAAATTGGAACACAAATTTCCAAATGAATTTAAATTCCAAATAAAGAGCATTAACAGATTAATATTCATGTCATGAAATACTTTGCAATCCTATCTTAAAAGATTATTTTGTGCTCTAGCTGGTTTGGCTCAGTGGATAGAGCGTCAGCCTAGGGACTGAGCGGTCCCAGGTTTGATTCGAGTCAAGGGCTCATGCCCGGGTTGTGGGCTCAATCTCCAGTGGGGGGCATGCAAGAGGCAGCCAATCAATGATTCTCTCTCATCACTGATGTTTCTATCTATCACACCCTCTCCCTTCCTCCCTGAAATCAATAATCCTATCTAATAAAAGAGAAACATGTTAATTGGCATACGACCGCTACCCTTCCCATTGGCTAATCAGCGAGATATGCAAATTAACTGCCAGCCAAGATGGCGGCCAGCAGTCAGGCAGCTTAAAGCAAACATGAGGCTTGCTTGCTTCAGTGACGGAGGACTCCAATGTTCCCCGCCTGTCACTGCAGGCCTCTGAGCTGCAACTCTAAGCAACTATGTTACAAATATAGC